GCGGTGCCGGCGAAGAAGGCCGAGCTCACGGAAGAAAGTAACCCTTCTACTTACCTGCTTTCACTCTTTTTTATTGAGTAACTTGACAACTGACTCTGATTTGAAAAATAAGCCGGAGGAGATGCTATGAGCATGAAATTAACTTAAGCAAAACTGGTACAAAGTCATGTAGGAAAAGTGACAGCAATTAAAGACCCACAACTACAGAAGATTTCATGTATTTCGGTCAATCTTACGTACCGTAATTTGAAGACATATAAAGTGAAAGACCTACCAGGACATTTAAAAATCAGGGGCACCTGCGGCTCAGTGGGTTAATCATCTGCCTTCGGCTCAGGTCATGATCTCGGGGTTCCGGGATCAAGCCCGGAGTTGGACTCCCTGCTCAGCGGGGAACCTGTTTCTCCCTCTCCCACTCCCCCTCCCACCACCACCACTCCTGCATTCTAATAAATAAATAAGATCTTTTTTAAAAATTTAAAAATCGTTGGAATGAACCCCAGCAGAGGTTTAAACCCACCCAAATGATGAGAGACTTGGACGAGGTTCTGAAGTCCTCACCCCTCCTGCCCACCAAACCAGAAAGTTCCGGATGAATTTGACCCAGACCTCAAAGGACTTCCTTTTGCTTTTTTCTCTAGAACCTGCAGAAAAGCCAAGTTCTAAATTCTTTTTGTAAGGCCGGCACAATTTAAATTTAATTTTAAAATCAGAACCAAACAAAACTACAGACCAACCCCTTTGTACACATGGCTACAAAAGTACGGAGCACAGACCCACGGAATTCGCACGTTCGAAGCGTGTCAGTTAACACACAGACGCGGCTCAGTGTCTGGCGCACTACTCCTTGGTATCCCTCATTAAAAAACTCTGAATCAGGGGCGCCTGGGTGGCTCAGAGGGTTAAGCCGCTGCCTTCGGCTCAGGTCCTGATCTCAGGGTCCTGGGATGGAGCCCCGCATCGGGCTCTCTGCTCAGCAGGGAGCCTGCTTCTCCCTCCCTCTCTGCCTGCCTCTCTGCCTACTTGTGATCTCTGTCTGTCCAGAAAAAAAAACAAAAACAAAAACAAAAACTCTGAATCAGACAATCGTGGGTGGTAAAAAAGAAAATAAAAACTTTTTATAAAATTCAACATCTAGATAAGGGCGCCTGGGTGGCTCAGTGAGTTAAAGCCTCTGCCTTCGGCTCACGTCATAACCTCAGGGTCCTGGGATCGAGGCCCGCGAGCAGCTCTCTGCTCAGCGGCGAGCCTGCTTCCCGGCCCCCGCCTCCACTGCCGCCTGCCTCTCTGCCTCCTTGTGATCTCTGTCTGTCAAATAAATAAGTAAAATCTTTAAAAAAAAAAAAAAAAACAAAACTCAACATCTGGATAAAACTCTTAACATAAATACAAATAAAGGAATCCTTTACACAAAAATCTATCTGCAAAGCCAGCATCTGCTTCATGATTAGAAACCAGACGCATCTGCATTAAAGTCAGGAGTGGGAAGGGGCATCATTGCTACTGAAATTCTGAAGGTGTTTGCTGATTCGGTCGACCCAGAGAAAGAAAAGATCTAGAAATTCCAAGAGTAGGGAAACTACCCTCATTTTCAGGTCCACACAATCATAGTAAGTGGGCTCACTAATTGTATACAAGTCAGGAATGCTGGAGGGAAAAAGAAGGGATCACAGGAGCCAAAAACCAGCCTGGGAGTCATCAGAAATGTCTACTCTCCGCTCCTCCCCAGCCCTACCGAGTCAGAAACTCAGCTGGGGTCAGAGGAAGCCCTACCACCTTGCCCTTTAGCACACCTTCTAGAACATTCTCACGCAGACCCCAGGTTGAAAACCCCCAGACCAAAAAATTCAGCAAGGTAGCTGGGTACAAAACTAGGCAGAGAAATTTTAAAACCTTCCTGTGTTCCATCAATCATCAGGGGTAAAAGTCCACGGACAAAGCCAGCACCAACAACGAAATCTAGGTGGCAAACTTAGATGTTCCATCCTTGGGGCAGGGGGAAGCCACTTGTACCAGGGGTCAGCTCTGCCTACACTGATCCCCATGTAGTGCCATCTCCGAAACGCAGCCTGACTTTTTAGAACGGTTCTCTAAGGTCAGAGAAAGCAAACAGGCAGGCACAGGAAGGAAATTTCCAAAACAGAGAAGTCAGCGGGGAACAGCTCTTCTTTTCATCATCAAACTCCAGTTCTTTTTTTTTTTTTTTAAACTTTTTTTTCTTACAATTTTATTTATTAGTTTGGCAGAGAGAGAGCACAAGCAGAGGGAGTGGGAGAGGGAGAAGCAGGCTTCCCATAGAGCAGGGAGCCCGATGTGGGGCCCGATCTCAGGACCCTGGGATCATGACCTGAGCCAAAGGCAGACGCTTAACAACTGAGCCACCCCGGTGCCCCCAAACTCCAGTTCTTAAAGCATGAAACAGGGTAGACCAGAGTTCATAGAGAAATACAGGGGATGAGAAAGTGGTCCTCCTCTCCCTCCCCTTCCTCCCTTCTCCTACTTTGGGGAGGGGGTGGGGAAGGGGCAGAGGGGAAGGAGAGAGAAGCCCAAGCAGAGTCCACACCCAGTGAAGAGCCCGACATGGGGCCCGATCTCACGACCCTGAGATCATGACCTGAGCCAGAATCGAGAGGCAGAGGCTTAACCCACTGAGCCACGCATGTGCCCCGAGAAAGTAGTACTTTAAGTCAATGGGAAAGCAACATACCATTAAATATAAAAGATACTAGAATTCATTTGGGGGCAAGACAGAGGTACATTTAAATTACATCTTGAATGGGTCAAAAATTTAGAAGGAGAGAAGAGCAGAGAAGCAGAACAAAACATGATTTTTTTTTTTTAAATCCCAGAGTGGGGGGAAAAAAAGCTTTCTAAGCAAACTACAATCTCAAGCCTTACGAGGAAATGCTGGTAAACAGGGGGACAAATGCGTCATTTGCACATACAAAAATAAAACCAAACAAACTGGAAAAAGTACTCAGCGAACAAATGCTTCCTTCGAAAAGGCACTCTTGCAAATCGGTCCAAAGAAAACCCGCGTCCCAGAGAAGCAGGTGGAGGGCAGGACCCAGGTGGCGTTTGAAAGCTGAAGCCACACAGTCACTCAGAGGAAACGCCAGGCCCACGAAAACCGTCCTAACACGTTGTCGGTACACACGGCCTACAGGCACGGAGGGGCGTCAGGAGCATAAACTGAACTCTAGAGGTTTGCTCGTCGGTCAGCATTGATTCAACAACTCAACTCCTAAGAGTTCATTCGTCCCAACTAAAATCACATCTAGACACACTCCAGGAGAGGCGGGACAGCCACGACTGGCTGCAGAGCCACGGTCCCGGCCACGGAGGCTTCCCGGCCACGGAAGCCATGTTGACACCATGGACCCCCATCCTTTTACCTCTTCCTTCCAGCACCTTCTGGGGCCTTAATGGTCTTCACTTACAGAGAAACTGGTCCCAAATCCTTATTTCTGTTGCATGGAAGAACCCTGTAAGCTGGTAAAACCAGCTCCGTGTGTGTCCCAGGCCTGGGGTTTCCCAGGTCCGGTGGTCCTCGCTATGGCGACACCCTCAACAGGTTTGTATGCGGAGATCCTCCCAGTGAGACAGGCCCACTGGCAGGGCTGCACCCCCCAGGGGGCCGAGCGCCTGGGCTGGGACCCTGCCTTGCCCTGTGTAAGCATGCCTTCCTGGTGAACGGGTCCCCGCTTGTCACCTGCCCTCTGATGACAAGAGACCCAAGGCACAGGGCGTCCACCAACAAAATCCAAGCCTGACAGCCAGACGACGGGGCTCGAGGTACAAACACCAACAGACCTGTTATTAGTGAGGTACTCAGTTGCTTTTTTATCAAAAGAAATTCCAGAACAGATGGAAGGAGCAGGACCGACCTAACTCTTTGGTTTTATGGTCAGGATATCCGAGGAGCCTCCCCTCCCCGATCTACTACCCCACTGGCTGGGGAGACCCCACAATGTACCTGAGCAGCTTATGAAAAACTGGCCTTTCAGGAGGAAAATCGATCACGACTGTGTCCAGGTCAGGCCGCCGCCCCTCTGTGTAGTCTGGACACGCATTTTTCTTTTAAAAGCTCATTTGCAAGGCCTTCTGCTCAGTCGGGGGCACTGCTAAGGGCAAAGTTTGGGGAGCCCCCCAGGAGAAAAGGCCACACCTGCCAGATGCAAACAGCTTGGTTTACTGTGGCCTCTAAGCAGGCAGGTTCTAGAGTGAATGGCCCCGTATCCATCCCATCTCCAGAAAGATCAAGTTGACAGCGAAAGACCCAAGAACCAGGTGTAGGTCTCAGAGCCGAGCCCAGAGCTCCGTCCGGGAAGGAGGGATTTCTCGAGGAGGGCTTCGATTCCCTGGCCCGGCCTCAGACCCTCACCCAGGGTCTCGGTCAGCTTGCCGGGATCACTCAAGTCCGTTTCAAGTGAGTCCCTGCTGTCAGATGACCCGTCACCCCTTTGGGGGCCACTGGGCTGGACAGTGACACTGAGGCAGTGGTCAGGAACCCAGGCCAGTAGGGTCGTTACTCACCACTAATTCATGCCAGACGACCTCTCAGAGCTTCCGAATTCCCCCCATTTAAGTTAGCAATGGAACTGCCTGGAACCCATGTAGACTGTGGCACAGACTCATTTAAAAGCAGCTGAGAAAGGTGGGGGGAAAGGGGACCTTATTACAAACACCTGTGGGGACACCTGCTCTCTCGCTGTTTATGCTTTTTGATAAATACACAAATTTTAGGTCATAGGAAGCTGCTCCCAAAAGACACACTGAGACTCACATCCCAATGTCCCCGCCCTCTACCAGCTAGAAGGGAACATCGAGGCATGTTTTCAACTGCAGTGGCTTGAGCGAGAGGCCAGGTGACCCCGGCAGGCGGAGCCCTGCCCTGCACGGCCGGAATGCGTGTGCCCAGTAGACGCGAACTCGGGCGGAGGTCTCAAGCGTCCGTGTCTCCAGATTTCAGGGACGAGAAACAGACTATAAAGCTTAAGCTGCCAACGACACCCAGGGATCCTGCGAAGCGTACCCACCAATCCACATGCGGCACCAAAGGAATTTTACTGAGTTCCGATTCAGCGCGTCCCAGACCAGCTGGACGTGGCCAGCGCGGCCCTGTGTTGAACACGTGCGATGGGGAGGGCCCCGCAGGCTGCCCTCTGTCCAGGGGCCAGCACCCAGGAAGGCCCGAGCTCGGGGAAACCTCCTCATTCAGCCTCCGGGATGTCCCGGAGCCCTTCGCTGTGGCGGCTCCGCCCACTGATTTCCAGCAAGGCCTGGGCCTCAGGGTCCACATCCAGGATGCTCTTGTTGCTCTTGGCCTTGGGAGGAAAGGAAGGGATGTGAGCATTTCCCTGAGAGCCAGCATCGAGCCCGGACGTCCTGCTGACTGTAAGCTCACGACAGCACCATCAGCATCCTGAAAACACCGAGTGGGCTCCGGCACTCCGACCCCAGGATGCCATCGCTGGGAGCTCACGGGGCGCAGAGGGCCCGAGGACAGCTCACTGCAGAACCACAGGACGAGAAGGAAGCCCGGACCTCCCTCACCTTGTAGACGCGCCACACGCCCCCCAGCTTCCAGCCTTGGGCAGGGCCCCGCCTCCAGGAGGGTTCACTCTACGAAACCCCAGGGACCGCGACGGGACTCCCAGCCCTGCTGCGTGCCCACGAGCATCTCTCTGTCCAGCAGCAGCCGCTGGGACGGAGGATAAACGACCTCCAGAAGGAGCAGCAAAAGGGGCAGCTTGGAGAGAGCTGGACAGTGGCTCCCGCTCACCTGCTGCGACCCTGAGGTGTCCCCCACGGCCCACACCTCCATCTTCTCAAAGCCGAAGTTCTCCTGTGCCGACAGCTGAGGGCTGTTGTAGGTGGTGCACTTGGGCTTGGCCTTGCTGTGTCCTTTCCCGAAATCTACATCGACCCACAGCCCGAAGTAGTTGTGTTGTCCTCCCATGCCCTGTTGGGGGGCGGAGAGGAGCAAAGCTGCCTCAGTGGAAGCCGCCAGACTTCCGGGGCTGCTTTTCCCTCGGGATGACTACTGGCGATTCCTGAGGACCTACTGGGTGCTGTTCCAGAGGCCACCCAACTGTCCTTTCTGGGAGGTGTTTGGGGTCCTCAGGGGCCCCCCCAGGAGCCTCATGGTGAGCCCAGGAAAGAGCAGAGCACGGGGGCCCTTTCCACCCAGACAGGCTGGACCAGCCTTCTCCAGCCTCCACTCTGCAAGCACAGAGCTGGGCTTTCCCAAAAGGTGCTTTGGGTTACGCAGCACAAGAAAGGAATCGGCTGTGGTGCTGGCAGGAGGCCCATTTCCCAGCCAAACCAAGCAGGCACTAGGGAACTGCTGTGGGGTACAGAGTGTGGGGACACCCATCCCAGCTCCGCCCTTGGCCCGCACCCTCATCCTCTTCCTCCCAGGGCTGAGTCTCTGGGCTGCAGAAGGAACGGACGGGAGGTACGCTCACCCCGACGGGAGCCCCAGCTTTATGAGTCACCCCGGGACAGCTCCTGATGGCTCCCGGGAGCGCAGATCTGGGCGTGCCCCTCTCCAGCTCACCTCCAGCCACAAAGGCCATGGCCCAACCAGGTGACCCCAGGAAAACTGGCCGAATCCAGCCTTTGCACACAAGTCATGGACATGCCCAGCAGGGCCCGACCTCACAGGCGAGAACTGTCCTAGCTGTCACTCGCCGCGGCACGGAGGCCCAGGCAGAATGGAGTGTCTATGGGCCACGCCCGTAAGCACAGGCACGTGGCTCCCCTGGCTCGCGGGGAAAGCGCCAGCCTGGGCATGTCGGGACTGGCCCCCCAAAGGAAGGACATCATGGAGGTGGGACAGCCCCGGCTCCCCGAGTCCTTACCAGTCCGTTCGGGATGGTCTGCTGCCCGTGATTCAGGTACATGTAGTGGTCGTTGTAACCCGTGGACGTGTACACGGCCATGCGGGGCGAGATGGAGAACAGGAAGCACGTGTCGTCCCCTGGAAGGGACCAGAGTGGGGACAAGCTCGCATCGACGATCCCACACAGCACTGTTTCTCACAATTCTGGGGAACCGGGGCCCGGGGAAAGCAAGCCCCTTGCTGCCGCGCCCAAAGCCGCGGGTCTTCCAACCGCAGAAACGGTGACCAGCAAGAAGGGACGGCCGGGCTGCCGCACCACCTCCAGGTCGGGACAGCTCCCAGGACAGACAGGGTGGGAAGGCGCTGACGGGGCCCGCATCTGTGATGCGAGGCCGCCCTCTGCTGGACATCCGCCCTCGGGTCCCAGGACAGCGCGGACTCAAGTTGGAACACCTGCCAGCTGCGTTTTCCCGCTGTCCCTCGGGGAGCTCCTGCTGCTGGAGAACACGGAGTTGATCCCAGAGGAGCTGGGAGACGCGGACGAGAGCCTCCCACCACGCAGACAGCAGCCCGTCGTTCCCCCAAAGCCTTGAACGGGGCTGAGGGAGGGTGCCCCGTTCACCCCCCAGACCCCGTGACGAGGAAGGCGAGGTGCAGGAGTGTGTGGACGAGGCAGGGCTGAGACAGTGGCCCCCAGAAAGGTCCCTGGGCTGGTGTCTAGGAGCGTGGATTTGGGGAGGGTCCCCCACTCCCAGAAATGTTAAAGGGGCGCCCCGTGCAAACAGTGTGCTTGGCACAGAACACCTGCTTTCCTCCCGGGACTCTGGGGTTTGGGGACTCTCGTGACTGGCCCCCCAGGAAAACGCTGGGTGCCGAGTCCCTAACGGCCCTTGCTGGTGGACGATACTGTTGGGGAATCCCGTGGGACCCCCAGGAGAGGGGCGCCTGTCCCTCTGCCCACCTCATTCCACGTCCTCTCGCTCTAATTAATTAATCACAGCCACGAGGGTGACCATACCCTGAGGCCCACAGGTCCTTCCGGGGAGTCCCGGACATGTGGGTGGTCTTGGGATCCCTGACACGGTGGGGAAAAGCCGGTAGCAACCAGTGGATTAAAGATCTGGAATAGTCCACAACCTCAGAGAAAACTAAATCCTGGAAACAACAGGATCTCAGGGATTCCGCTCACGACTCCCAACTCCCACCCAGCCACGACGACGACCTCCCTCACGTTGTCAACTCTGCACCGGGACACGGCCTCCCGGCCTGCAGAGCCTTGCCTCATGAGGGAAGGTGTGCAGAGTGCACAGTACGACAGAGGACACACAGGGCACCCATGACCCTCCCATTCTGGGAAGGCTTCCTGGAGGAGGGGACCTCGGGCTGAGTCCCAACAAGGAGCTGGTCATGCAAACAGGTCAGGCAGAGAGAAAGGGCAGCATGTGCTCAGTCTGAGAATGAGACGGAGCCCAGCCTCCAGAAAGTCTGGGGAGACGGAGCACGGGGGGACACATGCCAGTCATGAGGCTGGAGATACAACATGTGTCCCCTACAGGCAGCACTCAAGGGTCCCAAGAGAAGACACCACGTCAGATGTGCTGGGACGTGGCAAGTGCACTGGAGGCAAGATGGAAACCAGGGGCCGGTCAGGAGGCGAGAGGAGCAACACTGGCAGGAACGGCCTAAGAGAAGGTGGGGGTGGACACAGGACCCTCCCATTCACACTGAGTCCCCATCCCCGAGGAGCGAGTGGCATCAGTCTCTCACATCTAAGGACCTGGACAGGGAGGGTATTAACCACCCGGCTCCTGGGTGTGAGGGTGGGACTGCATCGGGTCTCAGAGCCCCTGGGCAAGTCCCCCAACGCGCCACTGGGGAGACCCACCGGGGACATGGGCGCCAGGGCCACAAGTCGAGGCACACGCAGCAATGTCAGACCTGCGAAGGCACCTTTAAGTGTGAGAACAGCCCATGACCCAGGAGATAAATGATCCTTGAAAAATGTTATCGGGGCACATTTTTTTAAGGAAGGGGAAGAATTTACTCCAGACTTTCCCCCAGTGCACTGAAAGCCACGGAAGTAGAGCTCAAATTGCCAACAAAAATCCCAAGACCGGAAAACCAGGGCGGAGGAGAAAGGCAGACCCCGTGGCACCGGCGGGGAACGGGCCGTCCGGGGATAGGGGAGGGCCCAGGACGAGAGCCATCCACCAGACAGGACGAGCAGAAGTGACCCCAGCCCTGCCTCCCCGGGGCCTTGACCCATGTGGTTTAATAATGGTGTCGCCTCCTCACCTGAGACCCAGGGTGGGGATACCTGTCCTGTGTCCCTTTCTCTGCTGCCACAATCCCCAGACCACGTAAAGCGGCATCTCCTGCTCCTGTCCTCCCCACCGTGTCCAGAGACGCCCGCGGAGGTGCCGAAGAAAGGCTCCGGACACTCACGCCCTCGGGCGGCGCAGGCGTCCCCAGGCAGCAGCCGCGAGACCGAACGCTCAAGGAGCATCGCGCCGCCGCGGGCGCCGTGGGGGACCCCGTCTCACCTTGAAACTGAGGCTTGACCTCCCAGGAGCAGGAGGCGAAGCCGCCGAACACCTGGCCGGCGTGGTCCTCCAGCAGCAGCACGCAGGGGCCCCGGTGGGTGACGCGGCCGCACAGCTGGGCGAAGCTGTGTCCGTGCAGCTCGGACGAGAAGAGCAGCCGCCAACTTTGCCGCTGCTCGGGGCGCAGGTGGGAGTTGATGTAGATGACCGACGGGACGTCCAGGACGCTCTCGAACACCCTCTCCTGGTCAACGTGACGCTCGGGGACGAGGGCGGCCAGGTCGAGGGGGGAGTGCAGGAGGAGGAAGCCTCGGTGGACGACCACGCTCAGAAACGTGGCCACGAGGGGGGCCCTGAACACCCAGGCCTCGATCATGGCTCGGTCACACTCACGGTCCAGCTGCTGAGGCCCTGGAAGCTTCTCGCCACCTTGGGGAGGGACAGACCCAAGCCGTGTGGCCACCGCGTCCCCAGACATCCACTCCCCACCCCCAGGCAGCCCAACGTGGGAGCCACGCGTGGCTTCTGAGTGCCTGACGCGTGGCTGGTCCGAACAGAGTCGCACTAAGTATAAAACGCACACCAGGTTCCGAAGATCCCGTGTGAAAAAACAACTCAAGATCTGTCACTTTTTATATGGCTCACCGATGCTCAAGCATCCTTTGGACGTCTTAGAACTAACTCCCCTTGTTCCTTTTTACTCTTTCCATGTGGCTACTAGAATATTTAACCTTTCACACATGGCTTGCCTTGGTGCCTGCACTGATCTCAGCCCATCTTTTCTTCCCATTGCGAGCTGCACATGAGAGGCCCAGGAGAGAGCCAGGCCTCACCCCTACACCTGGTCCTGAAGCCCCCAGCAGGTGTACCCGAGAGAGCCAGGCCAAAAACCATTCTTCGACAGGCTTCCACCCAACACAGCTGTTTTGAAAGGCCCTAGAACTGTGACCCTCTCCAGGCAAGTCAGGGCGGGGGCTGGTAACTTACAAGACACCCCCCACTGCCAATTTATCTGGGAAGGATGGGTGTCATTAACTAGGAATTATGCTTGACCCCACAGTGGTGTTTTCTATGGCTTACGCTCCAAGAATGGAGGGGATACGGTGGGGATACCGGAAGGCTGACCCCTGATATTTTACATATATTATGTTATTCTCCTGTCAAAGTTCCAAATTCATCACTTGATTTTGAAACAGGACCATTTTCAAACCGCCTTTTAAAGTCCAGCTTTATAATAAAATAATGCTTTTATAAAAATAAATCTACTTTGCAGAGATGCACCACAGCTATTTTTAAATCCCAAGGAAATTCCAACGTATACGGTTTCTCACTCAATGACAGTAGATACACGTTATCCTCAACTGCACATGGAACATTCTCCAGAACAGATCGTACAGGAGTGCATGAAGCATGCCTCAGTAAATTTTAAAGGACCAAAATCATACAAGGCATGTTCTTCAACCACAATGGAAAGAAATTATAAATCAACAAAAGAAGCCGATTTGGGAAATTCACAAACACACAGAAGTCAAATAACACACATCTAAGTCACCAACAGACCAAAGGAGGAATCACAAGTTAGAAAAGGCTGAGAGGGTTGAACACATACACACAACACACCAAAACTTCAGGGACGCAGCTAAAGCAGTACTTAGAGGGAAATGTATAGCCGTAAATGCCTATATTGAAAAAGAGAGATCTCCAGTCAATAACCTAACCCTCAACCTCAGAAAACTAGAGAAAGGAGACCAGACTAAATGTGAAGCAACCAGAGAGAAAGACAAGACTAGGGTAGAGAAGACTATAGTAAGAAACAGCAAAAACCAACTATATCAAAAACTGGAGGGGTGCCTGGATGGCTCATGGATTAAGCCTCTGCCTTCTGCTCAGGTCATGGACTCAGGGTCCTGGGATCGAATCCTGCATTGGGCTCTCTGCTCAGCGGGGAGCCTGCTTCCCCCTCTCCCTCTCTGCCTGCCTCTCTGCCTACCTGTGATCTCTGTCAAATAAATAAATAAAATCTTTAAAAAAAAAAAAAAAAGCTGGCTCTGTGAAAACATCCACCAAAAATGGACAGACCTTCAACTAGACTGATCAACAAAATAAAAAACTGGGATGCCTGGTGGCTCAGTAGGTTGAGTGTCTGTCTTCAGCTTGAGTCATGATCCCAGGGTCCTGGGATCGGGCCCCACATCAGGCTTCCTGCTCAGCAAGGAGCCTGCTTCTCGCTCTGCCTGCTGCTCCCCCTGCTTATGCTTTCTTTCTCTCTGATAAATAAATAGTTAAAAAATAAAAAAAGAAAGAAAGAAAAAAGCTTTAAAAAAAAATAAAATAAAAAACCTAAGCCTAAGCCTTCTGACTAATATCAGAAATCAAAGTGGGACATCACTACTGATCCTGCAGAATAACCATTATGAAGAATACTAGGAACCATTACATTAATTTCTGCATGTTTGGGACTTTCCCAAATGCCTCTTATTACTGATTTGTAATTCCTTTCCACTGCGGTCGGAGAATCACACTTTGTATGATTTCAGTCCTTTTAAATTTATCACAAGGCATGTTTCATGGCCAACCAGTAAGATAATCTGGAAAAAACTTGGACAACTCACATTTATGCATTTCAAAACTTCCCTGCAAGGCCACAGTGACCGAGGCCGTCTCCGTGTGAAGGTCTCCGTGGGTGGGTGTGCATGGCACTTGCCTTGAATGTCCATCTCGGAGAAGAGCTGGGCAGCCAACGCCTGCACCCTGGCGGGGGGACCTGGGCCTCTCTTCTGGGTCCAGCCTCTCAGCTCCTGTCTGTAGCTGAGCACATGCACCACAGAGCCAACCAGATCCTCTGTAAACTGCAAGACCACGGTTTTACCATTCGTCACATTTCCGCCGTGACCCACAGCCTACATCCTAGCAACACAGGGAAGGGCGCTTTATCTCTTCAATGCCGACTACAACGGGCCACAATGTGGGAAGAGATTATGTTACCGGGTAGGTGTTCCAGTTCTATTTCGCCAAGGCCTCTGTCTGGAAGTCCTGACCTCACCAGTGATGTGGTCTAGAGTCCCCGAGAGGGACATCTCCATGTGCCTCCACCAGCTGTACCACCGTCCCAAGTCCCCACCTGAGGACAGCCAAGGCTGCTTGGCATGGCTGCTAATGGCCTCATGACCTACCTTCTGGACTTCTCTTGCTTTCACAGGACCTTCTGTGGCAGAAATCATTTTCAGGATTACAAGACTCTTCTCCTCGGAGTTTCCCTTCAATAGGCGGGACATGGACACTATGAACTGCTCCTGGGAGACGTTGTCGCTGGGCCCCTTGGCCTTCCCCGTCAGGTCGACCGTCCGCATGCCATCATGGAGTCTGGTGACCATCTCCGGGGGAAGAGCTTCCCCAACATGCTTCTGTTGGAACAAGTGGGAGAAAAGGCTGGACGGGGTCAAACTACGCGTGGTAGGATCACAGGAAAAGGACTAGGCACCAAGAGTGACCACTGCCGCTTCCAGATGCTTCCACCAGCACTCAACCTTCCTAAACCCCACATGTATCCTCTCTCCCCCACCCAACAGAATCACATCACCCCAAAATGCACATGCCTGATGTGTCCTGGCTCGTGGTTCACCTTGGCCATCAGACTCTTCCAGAGTCTATTCCCATCCTGTCCTCCAAACTTTCCAGTCCCCCCAAGACTGGTCACATCGTTCCTGCCCCTGACCACCGCCTGCTCTTCACTCTGCTTACACCTTCATTCTAGACTACAGCGGCCACGTGCCCGTCTGAATTTATTAACCCACGGAATGTACTTGTGTGCGTAACTGATCTGCTCTCCTCTAGATAGGGAAGCCAGCTCCTCTTACCCCAAAGTCTTTGTGTTTAATATGTATTTTTACTTAAGTTTTATTTAAATTTTAAATCTAATTCTTTTTTTTTTTTTTTTAACTTATTTTACCAAGAGAGTGCAAGCGAGAAGTGAGCATGGGGGAGAGGCAGAGGGATAATCTCAAGCAAACTCTGTGCTGATCATGGAACCCGACGCGGGGCTCAATCTCACCACCCTGAGATCATGTCCTGAGCAGAAAGCAAGAGTCAGACGCTCAACTGACTGAGCCACCCAGGTGCCCCAATTTTAAAACTAAATCTTAAATAACATCTTGCCAGTAACATTCTGTAAACACTGTTTTCCTGTTCCACTCCAACATGCAATGCGATTTGCTCCAGGGATTACGGAAAGACGGAGAGAACGCAATTCCCAAACGGAACCCCGAGCTTCCTTTGAGCAGGGTCTGAACACTGGGTTCTCTCCAATGGCTCCCTGTGTCGGCAGTCTGGGACAACACGGATATCCACAAGCTCGTAAGGCAGGTTCCAGAGCTCACATCTCAAGAGGAGTCCTACTTCTGTCCATGGTCTCCAGGTTCTCTTGAAAAAGCAAGTTCTGCTGCTTCCCCGGAAGAAACGTTCCCCGGTCACCAGGGCCTTCTGATCACCTTTTCCCCGTGTGCTACGATACACACACGGGAACGCTGCTACCCAAACCTGCACTCACCCCGTTAACTGGCCTGGGGTTCTGCCTGCTTCAGCTTTGTGGGTGACCCAGCAGACCAGGGTGCCTGGGTCTAGCGGAGGTCCATGTACACCCCCAAGCGCCACACCGCCCCCCACAGAACTGTGACCCGGATAACCTCCCCAGGTGGTTTCCTCGTCTGGAACGGGAGCATCTTGTGGGATCTCCAAGGCCCCCACCAGCTCCCACCCTGCACCTTCCGGAAGAGGTGGCTACTAGACTGCCCTCCCCTGATGCAGCCCTCCTCATCGCCCAGGAAGGTGGGCTGGCAGGCTCTCTTGGCCACTGTCTTGCTCAGTCTGGGCATTCAAACATGATGTTAACAAAACCCCATGGAAGGACGCCTGGGTGGCTCAGTCGGTCAAGCGTCTGCCTTCGGCTCAGGTCCTGGGATTGAGGTCCACATTGGGCTCTGTGCTCAGGAGAAAGTCTGCTTCTCTCTCTCCCTCTGACTTGTCCCCCTGTTTGTGCTCTCTGTCTCAAATAAACAAAATCTTAAAAAAAAAAAAAAAAAAAGCCCCACAGACAGGGTGAAAAGATAGGGAAACAGGCAGTTTTAACCCCTTGGCAGGTAAACCTTCAATGTGGAAGATTATTTTGTTAGAAGTACCATGAAAATCCTAGGACAGGGCGCCTGGGTGGCTCAGTGGGTTAAGCCTCTGCCTTCAGCTCAGTCATGATCTCAGGGTCCTGGGATCGAGCCCCGCATTGGGCTCTCTGCTTGGCAGGGAGCCTGCTTCCCCATCTCTCTCTCTACCTGCCTCTCTGCCTGCTTGTGATCTCTCCGTCAAATAAATAAATAAAATCTTTAAAAAAAAAAAAATCCTAGGACATCAAACATTCACAAACACATCTGAAAGCAAAGCACACTTGAAAGTGTGGTTACCAAAAAAAAAAAAAAAAGAAAGAAAGAAAGTGTGGTTACCAGACCCACGAGACCCGAGAAAGCAGCCGGTTACCCGGTCTCGGAGGGAAATCAGGGGACAAAACTTTAAGAGCCAGAATGCAGCGCTGGCCCCGTGGTTGACCTCAAGTTAGAAGTGCCCCCCAAAGGGCGCCCGGGTGGCTCAGTCAGGTAACTGTCTGCCTTTGCTTATGATCTCAGGGTCCTGGGATCGAGCCTGGCGTCAGCAGCACGCTCAGCAGGCAGTCTGCTTCTCCCTCTGCTCCTTCCCCTGCCACACGCTCTTTCTTTCTAATAAATAAATAAAATCTTAAAAAAAAAAAAAAGTGTCGCCCCAAACACCACACTACTGAGGCAGAGCAGAGCGACGACGACAGATCCCGCAGCCTGCAAGGCGGAAAAGGCAGACCACGTGCCTTCCACAGAGAACGCCAAACACGTTTGTTGCCAAACACGTGTCAGACCACAGGGGAGAGCCGCAGTGGGCAGGGACCACAGTGGGGGGCACCTGCCGAGACCCCACCCTCACTGCCCCCGCAGCTCTTGCCTTTAGCGCCTTCAGGGAGAAGGACTGGGACGAGGTGTCTGAGCCGTGTGTCTCCGACGACAGAGCGTCAAACAGTCTGTCGATCTCCGCCTGCTCCTCAGGAAGAAACTGGGAGCAAACATTCGGCCCCGACTGGCTTCTGCTGTTCCCCATCCCTCCTCGTGTCTGGCACAATTCTCTGCAGGAGACAGCAAGTTAGAGGTCGAGTTGGAGAGCTCATAGAGAATACATGTTAGTAGGTATATACATGGTCAATTAATATAGAGTTAGGTGCAAAAAAGCGGCTGAAACTCATCTAGGGACGCCTGGGGGTGCTCAGTCAGTTAAGTGTCTGCCTTCGCCTCAGTCATGATCCCAGGGTCCTGGGATCGAGTCCTGACTCGGGCTCTCTGCTCGGCGGGGAGCCGGTTTCTCCTTCTCCGTCTGCCCCTCCCCTGCTTGTGTGCACCGACAAATAAATAAATACAAACTTTTAAAAGATAAAAATAAAATAAAACTCATCAGAACTAAGTCATGGAGTGGATGTGAATCAGGCAGGAAAACCGGCCCCGACCCCCATGGTGTCCTCCAGCCCACTCGTGCCTGCCAAGCAGTCTGGACTTACTCGGAAACATGGTTCCTACATGCATGCACCTAAAAGGTAGAAGTGTCTGTTTGCTCCTCGAACTCCTCTTATTTTCAAAACCAACGTGTGGGACACCTGGGTGTCTCCATCAGTTTTGGATCAAGTCATGGGATCAAGTCCCGCATCAGGCGCCTTGCTCAGCAGGGCGTCTGCTTCTGCCTCTCCCTCAGCTCATGCTCTCGCTCTCAAATAAATAAAATCTTGAAAAAATAAAACCTAACTTGAAAAAAGTCTGTAAAGCTGGGTGATCACATGTACTTGAATAAAATCCCCTTGAAAATACCACCCACGAAGCAAGCATAGTACTGGACAAGCTCTTCCCTGGGACCCTGCCTCTGGGCCCAGCAGCTGCAAGGGCTGGGGCAGGCTCTCGAAGCTTCCACGCTTCCACATCCTCCTGTGTGCAATGGGCATCAGCACACCCTCTGACAGAGGTCGTGGTGACCACTGGGCTAGGCAGTCCAAGCAAAGGGCTGAGAAGGTGCCCCTGACCTTCAAGGGACAGTCACAGAGACACGTACCCAAAGGCCCGGGGGTCTTGTTCATTGTCACAGACCCCATTACAGAAAGGGGTCGAGCGCCATCCGATCTGGGAGTCAAACAAAAAAGCACAGCCAGAGAGGAAAAAAATCTCTTAAAAGGCCAAGTGCTACGGCTTGTCCCTCCCACCCTAGACGTCACCTGGAAGCCAGCGTCGATGAAACTGCTGGAGAGAAAAGCACCTTCTTCCCCAGCCCAGGAGGGAATAGCCTCCCACCAGGTAAAGGCAGGCCAGCCCAGGCCCCCCAAGATCTGGTTGATGAGTACCCCGAGGGCAAACAGGGTGTAGCCCTCATTTTTCTTCCTCCTCCTCCTGGAGAGAATCACTTAATGTGAAACTAACCCCTTTAAAATGAACAATTCACCGGCACTCGGCGCACAGTGTGGGGCAAACCACTACCTCCACCAGGTTCCAGATATTTTTGTCACCCCCCAAAGGACACCTCGTGCCCACGAGCCATTCCTCCCCAACCCCTCCCCTAGCCCACAGGGCCGCCAATGTGCCGTGTCTGCGGGCATCCCTGTCCCCGACATTCCGCATACACGGAAGGACACAATCTGCGGTCTTGCGGGTCTGGCCTCTCTCCGGCAGCATCCGGGGTTCAGGGCTCAGCCGTACCGCGGCAAGCGTCCACACTTGGTCCCGTAGGGTTGAGCACTGGTAGATGCCAGACCACGCTGGGTGTACCCGTTCATCTGCTGTTGGACAGCTGGGCCAGCTCTACCTATTGGGTATTGTCAGTAGTGCTGCTACGAAGTCCCGGCTTTCAGTCGCTGGGTCATATGGTGGTGACCCAATGTTTAATTCACAAGGAACCACCAAACGGTGTTCCATTTTCCATTCCCAGCGGCAAAGCGCGAGGGCCCCCATGTCTCCATATCCTCCCTGATGCTTCTATTACTTCTCCATTTTTTTGATTCCAGCCATCCTGGCAGGGCACCCATCTGTCCTGCGGAGAAAGATGCAGGCGGGGACTGGGACAGGGACCTTAGAGCACTTGCAAAGACAGCTGGAGAGCAGGGCTCACACAGCCCAGCTCGGGGCTGTCACTCACGGGCCACCTGATCTAATGCTTCCACTCCTCAAGTTGCCCAGCAGTGTGAGAGCCAAGAAGGAAAACCTCCAGCCCTGGGCTCAAGGGCCAGTCTGCGGGAGGCTCTCCTCTTCTCTAAAAGGAGGGGACCGCGCCAGCTGGTTCCTGGTCCCCTCCAGGGGCACAGCCCAACCAACTGCGAAGAAAACACCTGACTGTGCAGGACTCAAAGGGGAGATGCGCCACCATCGCCGGATCTGTAAACGCCCACTGATCTGGGAGGAGGGCAGCCAAGAGCGCAGAGCAAAGGGAGAAGGTACTGGCATCACGGAGGCAGAGGTGAACGGGGTACGCTCTAGGAACCGCGAGCCCGTGCTGTCAGCACCGAGCGTCCCAAAGCCAGGCCCCGGAGGAGTCCCACGAAGAGGACGTGGACGCCCGCCCGCTGAAGGCCGGCGGGGCACGTGTGCTCAGGCCGCCTCCCGAGCCACTGTGCAAGGCAGCGCGGGCACCTGGGGAAGAGCGTGGGGGGCTGGATGTGGGGCTGGGGCACACGAGAGGCGTTCAGCCTGGACCGGCTGTGACTCAGGGACTGGTTATGTTCGTCGCTTTCCCCACAGATGCAGGAGGAAGAGAGGGGAGCTAAGCCTTCCTCTGGTGGGAAGAGCCCCTCGTGCCCTTGTTATCAGCAGGGGGTCGGGCGTCAGCCATCCCCTCCCCGACCCAGGGAGCCTGCGGGGTGATCTGATCTCGGTCTGTAGAGCGGGATCTTGCTTTGGCCTTGTTCTAGCACGGCTCCGCGTGAATCACGACCACCTTAGGCAGAAGTAGTCAGAGGGACACTTCCCCACCAGGACCAGGGAAATTCAAGACTCTCAAAATCTGAATTCATTTATCAAGTCGCCAAAAATCTTGTCACACGACCCTCCCTGTGCCCCTCATCTTGCTATCTGAAGTCCTGAAAATGATAAATGTGTAAAAATACACCCTGGTGAGTCTATCTCATTCTCCGATAGGGGCTTCCTGCCCAAAATCATCAACTTTTTCACTTCAGGAAAACCTTAAGGTTTGGGACCTGAGAAGGCCCGGGACGTACCTGAACGGCTGGAAGGGATGAAGGTCTTGCCACCCCCTGGGATGGGAAGGATTGAGACGTCAGCACAGCTTCACATCAGAGCTGGAGTCCAACAGAGGCATGCGGTCCACTCAGAGCATCAGACTCTAGTCTCCTATCTGCCTCAGAGGGCCCCCGCTGTCCACCTCTGCACACCACCACCCTACACAGCCTTTGGGTTCCAAGACTACCCGGTGTTCCTGACCTTCCTAGAACGGACGGTCGCCTTTAACTGAAGAGGCGCACAGGCTCCTCCTCACCACCTCTGCTCGCTCTCCCCACTCACCTGTCCAGGCTCATGCCTGACTCGCCTGCTCAAATCTCAAAGTCCCAAGAGACTGTGTCCCCCAACCACCTGCCTAGCACCTGAGCCACCTGGGGCATGCAGGTGCCGTGGTGACCCGGGCTGGCCTGTCAGGTCCACCGGCCCTTTCTCCCACTGCCTGGTTCCCCTCCGTGTGCAAATTCCAGGAGGCCGGCCTGGCTCAGAGCCTGAGAGAGCCCAGGCGCTTCCCCACCGGGACTCATTCCCAACCCCTACCGCACTCAGGGGCCCCCTGGCTTAGTGCCACTTGCTCGACCACCACGACCCATCCCCTACCCAGGGATGGGCTCCTGGTTGCCCTCATCCCCAAATCCCATGACCCTACCAGGCCCAAGCCATGGAGGGACTCCACACGTGCAATTCTATTTGCTAACCCAGAAGCCACCAGGGAAATCCAGTGTCAAGGGCAGGAGGTCCAGCCAATGCCACCTCCAGCCTCTCTTTACCAGCAACGCCATCTGACTGCCTTGCCTCCCAATTCCCCCAATATGGAGAAAGCTTCCGCCCGGCTCAAAACCCAGGAATCACCCTACTAGAGGGATGCCGGACTCTTTAAGGGGGACACCTGAAGCTAAAAGGTCACCAACATTTAAATGCCACTCCACATCCCAGAGGAGGGAACAGTGCACCCAGGGGGCTGTACCACTACGGGGCCAGAGGTCGTGCCTCCCCCAGCACACAGACCCTTCTCCATCTACTCCCTCTATCAGTGACTCAGTTTCCCTGGGCCAGGCCCCGTCACAGAGAGCGGGCAGACACAGAGGGGCCTCAGGCGGGCTCCAGCCTGCAGGAAAGATGTTCAGTGGGGAGAGATGGACAAGCACAGCCGGAGTCAGGGAAGAGAGAACCCAGGAGTCAAGAGTCACAGATATCCCAAGGGACACACTGAGGCCGGGTCTTCAGGCTCCTGCAGGGGGCTCACCTGGGCAGGGGGGACCACGTGCACAAAGGGGTTGGGGTGCAAACCCTGACCACTAAGGCAAGGTCTGGTGCGCGGAGGGGAACCAGAGGCTACAGAGCAAGATCCCCTGGTCTGCCCCTGCCCAGCCCACCCCAGCCTCCCGCTCTGACCCGCTAAACAGGTTCCTCCTGTGTTGTCTGAAAACAGACCAGCACCACCAGCCCTCCCGTTGAGGACAGGGAGGTGCAGACTAGCAGCAGGGGGTGGGTACAGGGCAGCACCAGGAAGAGACACCAGGAAATGCCTGGGAACGGGACACACTGGCAACCCAGGAGGGGGAAGGGCAAGCAGCTGCCTCAGGCAGGAGCTACGGACCTGGAGTGAAGGTAGGGAGGACAGCAGCCTCTGGGAATGGGTGCTGCCCCCTGTACCACGGGTCCAGGTGTCTGCGGGGTGGAATGAAGGGACAGCAACGGAAGCAGGTGTCCCCCACACGCCCCGACCACCCCTTTATGCATCCCAGCCTCGGTCACTGTGATCCTGCCCAGAGTCTCTCCAATCAACTCTAGGGAAGAAATGAAGGCCTTCAATGCACCCCTACATCTCCCCAAATACAACTTCCTGAACTTTCTTTCAGTCCCTGACAATGGATTTCTCCTGGGACCATCCCAGGTGCACCTCCTTAGGTAAGACAGTCCGTTCTCCTGGTAAGTTGCACATCCAACAACCCCAGGCTGGCTGGAGCCTTCCTCAGGCTTATGTCTATCAAGTTCTTTCAGGAGGAAGGACCTCCATGTTACTGAAGACTCCTTACATCACACTCTCCACTGGGGGTCGTTCTACCCCCCAGGGCCCACCTGGCAACAAGGCTTGCTTGTGATGCTGGCGCCTGGTGGGTAGAAAGCAGGGGGCTAAGTATCCTGCCCTGCATACAACGGGCCCCACAACAAACCACCTGGCCCCGAACATTAGTAGGGCTGAAGGAGACAAACTGGTTTTCCAAGACGCAGGCCAGTGAGGCAGAGCTCAAGGGTGGGCACTGAAGGGCCAGCCTCTCGCAGAGGGGCCCTGGGTGCTGCCGTTATGGTGGAGGCAAAGATGGGCAGCCCGGAGGTCAAGTTCTGACAGCATCTGGTTTGAAGACTCTGGCCACATTACTAAGCCTTTTCAGTACAATGAGCAAATCGCCAACCCCGGAGGTGGAAGAGATTCAATCAGGTTAACACAGGGTACTTCTTTCCGCTTTTTGGGGTCCAGAGATGGAGACAGACGGGCCCAAGCAAGGCAAGTTTGAATCCCTGCCCAGCAACAAGGGACCCCCTCAGTGCTGGCAGAGAGCCAGGAGTTTTTCTGCAGAAGGGAGCTGCCGATCCGGCTGGACTCCCCAAGTGGCTCCTGTCCTCGGGGTGCTCTCCCCTCTGGCCTGCCAAGATCCCACTGCTGTCTCCAAGGGGCCACTGTCCTGACAGCAGTCACCTGGCCCTCAGGGCCCCCTTTCTGCAGAGAGTCCAACCACCTCATCTGAACATAGGGGCTTCAAGCCCTGTTTACATCCCAGCCCAGCAGTCCTTCTGCAGAAGGTCAGCTTGGGTGGAGTCCCCGCTGGCCGGAAGGTGCCAGACCGGTCCTGCTCCTGCCCCAGGCTGGCTTCCCTTCCTCCAGGGAGCCCCGCTGACTCATCTGCCTGGGAGTGGCTTTTATCTACCCTCTGCGCCAGGACAGCCACCACGTCCGCTCTCCTGGAACAAGGCTAGTAAAGGGTGGTCAACACAAACCGCCCCCAACGCCCCCCACAGTCCAGTATAAGCCCCCACGTCCCCTCCCACAGATGCTCCAGTTATTCCCGCGTCTATGCCGCCTCTCTCGCTGCCCCTCCCCAAAACGGGCCACAACCCTGGGACCCTCTGATCTCGACCACACGAAAGGTAGAAGATGCGGGGTGATTCTGGGCCCCAACTGACCACACGAGGAGACGCTCCCTCCGTCGCAGCTGTCCCCCGAGGGCCCGCCCCCACCTCTCCCACCCTGGGGCCCGGAGGAGTGGGCAGCCAGAGAGGAGCAGGGTCCCGGCCCACTCCAGGCACCGTTCTCTCCCGTGTCCAGTGCCATCTCCCCCGACCCCTCCCCAGGATCGGCCGCTAGCCCTGCGCCGCCGGGCCAGCACCCCCCAACCAGGTCACCGCAGCCCACCGCAGCCCACCGCCCGAGCACCCACCGGAACCTGCCAGTCAGGCCGCCCGCATGGATTTTTCCCCCGGAGCAGCCCGCCCTCGTTGCCAGGCGACGGCGCTGACGGGCAGCTGTCTTCCCCAATAGCAGAAGTGGAAGCTGAGGGGGCGAGGCCTAGAAAGAAGTCAGCCAATGGCCGCGCACCTCGTGGGGCGGGGCCGGCGTGGACGGGGGCGGGGCCGGCGGGCCGGAAGCAGCGCCTGGGCGGGGAGGGGTGCCTGCGGGAGCGGCTGGAGAGGAGCTGGAAGCGGGGCTGGAAGTGGGGAGGAAGCGAGTTCAGGGCCGGGGCCAGCGAGGAGCACCCGGGGAGGGAGGGCGAGCCCGGGCTGGGGTCGAGAGGAGCAGCTGGGCCTTGGAACAGCTGACAGGGAAGAGGCGGTTAACCCGCTGCGGGACGCCCCTGCGGATCCGGACCCGGGCAGCTCTCCTGTGACCACCCACCCCGCCCTGTCCCCTCTGGTTTTGGCCTGGAGCCCCTCCCACCTGGGGAAGTGCCGCCCCCTAACCTGGAGCTCGGGCTCCTGCCCACCCCCCTAACCTCCTCCAGGTAAGCAGGTCCTGCTTTCTCCGACTCCTCCTTCCCAGCATCATTTACACGTGCCCTCGGGGCACGGGTGGCTCCGTCGGGTGAGCGTCCCACCCCGGTTTTAGCTCAGGTTGTGATCTCAGCGTCCTGAGCCCCGCGTCTGGTCCGCGCTCGACAGGCCGTCTGCTTCTCTCTCCCCCTGTGTCCCCCAGCTCACTTGCTCTCTAAAAAAAAGGAAAGAAAGAATAAAAACATGTGCCCACATGTGTTCCAACCTTGATAAACTGACACTCTCTGGCCCCTACCGCCGTCATTCCTCAAACCCCTGAAACCTGGCCCCAGGGGGCCTGTCCCTAAATCCAACAGGCGCTCTCAGCCCTTAGGTGCGGGCTCACAGTGGACATCCTCCTTACTAAAAGCCCTCCTTTCTGGGCATTCAGGTCGCCCGTTCCTGGCTCTCTCTTCCTCTCTCCAGGCTCTTCCGGCTTCTGCTCCGCCAGAGTTCCTCCCGCATCCCTCCCGGGGCCACGCATCGCTCCCTGAAATAACAGCTTTCCTCGTGACTTCTGTTCCACCTGCTGCTAATGCTGACCCCCGAGCCTGCGCTCTGACCCCGTCTTTTTGCTCATCGGGCATCGCCACAAGAATGCACCTGAAATTCAGCCCAGCTGAAACCAAACTCGGCCTCTGCCTCCAAAACTGCTCCCCTTTGCTTCCTTCCTTAGTGCGCGTCAGCCCCTCCTATGCCTCCCCTCTCTCTCCCAGGTTCCTTTTTACTTCCAAGATAGCTCCTGCATCCACCTCTTTCAGTCCAGGTCCCCAACAGGGCAGTCTCCAGGCCAGACCACAGTAAGAGCCTCCTTCCTGGCCTCTTGGCCTCCGCCACCCCCCAAACCGCAGCTAGCATCCCAGATCAGCTGGGCTCTTGATCAGGCCCCAGTGTCAGGCACAGAGAAGGCCAGCGGACGGTTTTTACTGTTCCTCAAGTTCACAAGGAAGGTTATTTCTCAAGCACACAGTAAAAGAAAGGCTTTTGCTGGTCTAAGCACTAAGCGATACCTGTGAAGTATATAATGATCCCTTTGAGTAATGAATTTTTTTTTTGAAGATTTTATTTATTTACTTGACAGAAAGCACAAGCAGGGGGAGCCACAGGCAGAGGGAGAGGGAGAAGC